CGGCTGAACCAAGAGCAAGGAGGCGGCATCGGTGATGGACTTTCGGTCTCTAACCATCACCCCTCCTGGGAGAAGGCTGTGCCGGCCGCCTGACAGCTCCCGCTCTGAGTGGTGCTGGGTTTCCCTCGTCTTGTTTTTGGGAGTTCAGGGAGCTGGCGAGATCCAGGAGGCCCAGCAGCTGGCCGGGGAGACAGGCAGGGTCCCCTGGATAAACCGGTGGGGATTCGCACCCAGGACCAGGCCTGCCTACTGCAGGGGTTCTCCCAGAACCTTCCCCTGGGTCATTTCCAAGGGCTGAAGGGAGCTGACACTGCCCCCTGCTGGAGGGCTGAGGAACAAGCTTGAGTCTCCCAGACATAACGGCCTGTGAGTAGTTGGCAGAGAGGACTCGTGTTGTTAAGACAGTTACTCAGGTCACAAGGGCTGCGGTGCCAGAAGGAACAGGTGCAGATCACATGACCAGACCAGAAGGAACAGGTGCAGGTCACATGTCCAGACCAGAAGGAATAGGTGCAGATCACATGACCAGACCAGAAGGAACAGGTGCAGGTCACATGTCCAGACCAGAAGGAACAGGTGCAGGTCACATGATCAGACCAGAAGGAACAGGTGCAGGTCACATGATCAGACCAGAAGGAACAGGTGCAGGTCACATGACCAGACCAGAAGGAACAGGTGCAGGTCACATGACCAGACCAGAAGGAACAGGTGCAGGTCACTTGTCCAGACCAGAAGGAACAGGTGCAGGTCACATGTCCAGACCAGAAGGAACAGGCGCAGGTCACATGACCAGACCAGAAGGAACAGGCGCAGGTCACATGACCAGACCTGAAGGAACAGGTGCAGGTCACATGACCAGACTAGAACCAACAGGCGCAGGTCAGACCGGAAGGAAGCCAACGTGTCTAACGCTGGGCGGGCGGCCTCTTACGGCCTCAGGGGTGACCTGGGAGGATGGCCCGTGTGTCACCCGTGATGCTTCCGTGTGCTCTTCCCGGCTGTTCAGACTCAGGGACTCCAGCCCAGCGTCAGGCTTGCGTCTCGGTTCCCCTGTGAGCTGTCGAGCCTGGAGCCGGTCACTTCCCGTCTCTGAGCCTCAGCCACCTCGTTCCACACTAGCCGTTCGCGCTCACCTTCTAGAACCGTTCTGAGAAGGTGAGGCAGGCCTGGCCCGTGGAACTCAGGGGGTGGGTCTCTGTGTCGGTGAGAGGGCCGAGGGGGCCCCCGCTTCTCCGGTTGGCGTTGGCAGAGGCCTCCCCCGTTTCAGGAGGCAGTTTGGGGCAGAGGGAGCGGCCACAGCGGGAGAGCGTGGGGGCTCCGGGGCACGACCTCCGGCCCCTCCTAGCGCGAGGCCCACGGGCTGTGGCCAGGCGCTGGAGGAGGGAAGGGACTGGGGGAGCCAGCCCAGCCCGCGGCTCAGGGGAGGCGGGAGTGGGGGCGTCCGGCTGCACCACTGCCCGTGCTTTCCAACCAGCAGAGGCTGACGAAGGAGCGAGAGGCCCAGCTGATGTCCCGGGTTTTTCTTTTTATTTTTTTAAATATATTTTATTGATTTTTTTACAGAGAGGAAGGGAGAGGGATAGAGAGTTAGAAACATCGATGAGAGAGAAACATCGATCAGCTGCCTCCTGCACACCTCCCACCGGGGATGTGCCCGCAACCAAGGTACATGCCCTTGACCGGGATCGAACCTGGGACCCTTCAGTCCGCAGGCCGACGCTCTGTCCACTGAGACAAACCGGTTAGGGCTCTTTTTCTTTAAAAAAAAAATTTTTTTTTATTGATGTCAGAGAGGAAGGAAGAGGGAGAGAGAGAAGCAACCATGATGAGGGAGAATCATGGATCGGCTGCCTCCTGCACGCCCCACACCGAGCCCACAACCCGGGCATGTGCCCTGACCGGGAATCGAACCGTGACCTCCAGGTTCCTAGGTTGACGCTCAACCACTGAGCACACCAGCCGGCTGCCTGCTCTTTTGTCAGTTCCTGTTCTCTTGTTGGGAAAATCGCTGTTAACTCACTGCCTCTTTCTCTTAATGAGGAGTTGTACGCGGTACACGTGGTGTTTGAACATGCAATACATACATGATGTGTGAAGTGGCTAAAACGACTAATCCCGAGAGGTGGGCAGACAGACGGGGGCATGTCTCTGCGGAGGGTCCCCGCCCCTCTCGGGAGCCTCTGTGTTAGGTGCCGATGTGTCGTCTCAGGAGACTATGGCGGGAGGAACACACTGGAATACGTCTGCCACGCAGGCACTGCCTGAGCCTAAACTGTGTCACCTTCACTAGCAACTCGACATCTAAACCACCAAGGACGCTTGGAGTCAAATCTCAAAATGCAGTCGGCGGTGGCTGGCTGTGTGAGTCATACTTTCCTGTTTGTGTAAATATAGACACTGACTTTGCAGGCTGACAGGCCCGCACGCTGCCTCCCTGCTCTGCCACGCACCTGCTGTGTGACTCCGGGCAACTGCCTTCACCTCTCTGAACCCGTTTTCATGTCTATAAAATGAAATGCGTGAAAATACCTCCCAACGTTGAGGGTTAAATGAGAAAATGCATAGGAGACACTCATCCCAGGACCCACTCCCTACATGTGAGCCGTGTGATAGCGTGAGAGAGAGCAGAGGTCAGCTTTGAATGACCCGTAGAGCGAGAAAACACTCCGTAAACCCAGGGTTGAAACTCGCATTGCACACGTTGGTCCTGCGCTCCCCGTGCCCATACCCCCACCCCCCCCAGCGACTCTGCTGGGGCTCCGTGACCCCTCAGATCAGAACTTGGACTTCCCGCCCAGATGGTGTGGCTCAGTGGTTGGGCATCGACCTATGAACTAGGAGGTCACGGTTCGATTCCCGGTCAGGGCACATGCCCGGGTTGCGGGCCCCATTCCCAGTGTGGGGCTGCAGGAGGCAGCCGATCCATGATTCTCTCTCATCATGGATGTTTCTGTCTCTCTCCCTCTGCCTTCCTCTCTGAAATCAATACAAATATATATTTTTAAAAAGAACTTGGACTTGCTCTTGGAGCTGGCACACGTCTCCCTGGGGAGCTGTCCCAAAGTCACCATCCCCCGTGCACTCCGATGCTTTCCTTTGCACGACGGGCGTGTGAGCATCTCCCTGGCCCTCCCCTCCCACCTGCGGCCTGTGCCCGCCAGAACCGGGTGGAGGGAGCCATGAGGGAGGGCCCTGCAGCAGCTGAGAAGAGAGTCGGCACCTCTCGGGCTAGTGCCCCGTCTGTGGCCCTGCAGGCAGAGACACACGCCCCATCGGAGCACCCTGCAGCGGGCGTGTGACACGGGCCCTGATCTGCGGACCTCGCAGGCCCGGCTGTCAGGATGCAGAGAAGCGAGACCACATGAGGTGCTGTCAGAGGGCTGGGAAGGAGTGGGGTGGTCACCGCCAGGTGCTGTCCCATCTACCCAGGAGCAGAGATTTAGAGCAGGCAGCCTTGGCTTGTTGTTCAAAGAAGGAGTGAGCCCTGGCTGGTGTGGCTCAGTGGATAGAGCGTCGGCCTGTGGACTGCAGGGCCCCGGGTCCCATTCCCGGTCCAGGCACACGCCCAGTTT